CTTTATTGAGATTCAGTTCTCCCTGCCTCCTTTCTCTCATAAAATGATACTGAATCACAGAAGTCCCGTGCAATGACTTCTTCAGGAGCAAGCATGGTGGATTTCCTTTGTCTGCAGCAGCTGGGGTGGCAGAAAGCAGGACTTGACTCAGAAGTCCGCGTGTTTATCTGCCATCACCTGGCTCTGGCTCACAGCTTCACTGGCTTTGCCAAAATGCCTGGTCTCTTTGGAAACCTGATTCTCTTTTTAGCTCTGTTCTTCATGCTACCATACCAAGCATCTGCGATCAGATCCCAAGTCTCAGCTGAAATGGTGTAGAAGTGATGTAAGTGGGTGAGGGATTTATGTATTTATTTAACAAACAGCATGGGTTTCCAGAAAGCCTGGGCGGCAGTGTGGCTTCTTCCTTCTCTTCACTAAGATCATCACTGGCACTTTTATTGTCAGACATAGGAGAAATAAGACATTGATTTGTTTATAATATATGCCAAAACAACTCCATGTACTTGTCTTGTTCTGATATAAAATTGTGATGTTAACAGAACCTTTGGTCTTCTCTTCCTACTCTTTGAATCTGTATTTCTGCCATGACAAACAAAAAATTTCAGTTCTTAGGAAAGTGGCATTTTTCCACCCATTTTCAAGCAATTCTTTCTCTTGAGTAATTCATTGCTGAAGATGCTTTCTTCTGTAGAAGAGGGTCACAAGCCCCAGGTGTTCTTAACCTGTTCAGTCCATTATACTTGGACTCCTCTCCTGACTACGTGTGGTTGTAATAACCTTTCTCTTAGCCATGAGAGCACCATAGGAAGGGGGAGAACTGATGACAGGGAATTTATGCTCCAACTGACAGAAATGCCTTTTTCCTTCAAGTGATTCTGTTGCTACTGTCAGTTACAAGAATTGCTCTCCCAAAAGGAAGGATTGCCTGCATGGCCCCACTGCTTTACCTGCTGACTTCAGGTTCCCATGAGGAGTTACAACATTGCATTATCACACATCTTTGATTGTATTTTATAATTTGTGTCGCTTTTATCTTTATCTAGACTGGTTTTGTTTGTGCAGTGAAATTTCATGCAGGATCTTTCAGCACACAAGCATTCACAAGCATGTGCAGTTTGTGCTGACCATTCCACTCGTCTCCTGGTACCCTTCCCCTGCCCTGGATGCAAAGCGTAGCCACACCTCATTCTCTCCAAAGGACATGCCCTGGTCCACAGGACAGTTTTTCAAGAACATAGTGACACTGCAGTACACGCTTCTTGCTGAACACAAGGATCCAGCTCACAAGTCCTGCAAACCTGGACTTTGAAACGCCTCTCAGAGCTGTTACTCAGGTCATGCAGCAGAGCAAAAGACAAAGCCTGCACTGGCTTTTCTATAGCAAACCTTTAATCCTACAAGAAATGTGGCAAGAAGATACCAATAGCAGCAAGTGAGGTTTAAATTTGTCTTTTTCTCTGATGTCCACCAGTAGAAATCCAAAACCATTTTATCTTCTCTGGAGTTTGTCCATGGATTGCTGCAGATACTTACCTAATTAAGTCTACTCAGTCCTAGGAGCTTTTACCCACATGTATCCCTGTAGGACTGCCAAGAAAGATTAAAAGAACAACAAAAGACATACCCTCCTAAGTGGCAACCAAATAGAGAATTCTTTTCTGATTGTAACAAATAATTGGTCAGCTAGACCCACAGCAGCCTAGAAGTACAGCTCCCTGGCTAATCAAAGCGTAAAATTGGGGCAGCTGGAAGATTCAGATGAATTGAAGGAAATAATGCAGCATTACTGCTTCTTTTTTATGGCAGTGGGACTTTGTGAAAAGCATGTATCCCTACTCTTAGTTCAAGCATTAAAATACTTCTGACCTTGTAGAGCAGGAGATATTTTTCCAGGTACAGATTCTCTTTCTTTTAGCTTTCTACTTCCTTTCTGAAAATAGTGTATTATATTTGCCATCTGAGCAACCCTGTCAAATCTAAGAGAAATATTTTCCTTCTAATTTATGTAGAACTCCTGATTTTAAGTCTTTTGTTGCTTATCCTAGACTGTAATGGGTTTTAAAAATGCAGGCTTTGTAGGCTTGAAAGAGAAAATGCAAACAATCATGAGTCCACTCAACCTTCTTATTTTAGAAGCAAAATCCTGTTACTTAGATAGCAACCTTTACAGCTAATGTAATTATATCTCCATGTCTTTCTATTTGCCATGTACAGAATGCCCAGATCCTCAGAAACAGAAACAAGGAAAGACTGCAGAGTACCATGACTGTGTTAGGTAGATAGTGAATAGAAAACTTGTAGTGTAATAGATTAAAATATAGTCGCTGAATTTAAAAATAGTCTTTTTTTGTTGATGGAATGATCCTAAAATTTTAGAATCGTGTAGACAAGACCCTTCAAAGATATAGTTCAAGATCCTTCATTTTACAAAGTTGCATATACAAAAGCTGAGGAATGCCTGTAATTTACTAAATTCAGCTTTGCACTACCCTTTCAAGGTAAGGTGATATTATTTTAAAGAACTGCATACATCAGTCCTCCTGTAGTGCATAGAGGTCCTGAGACAGAATTAGGAATACATTGACTTCCACATTTAACTTTCTTAACCTTGAGTCCTTCATTTTCCCTCCTCAGCCTTATGCCTCTTTTACTACAAACCTCCTAAAACCATTAGACAAGAGGGTCTTAAAGAAATCAATACTCTGTGGTGTAACTGCAGTGAATTGCTGGAGCAGATCCATTTTGCACACAGAATAAAATCACTGCTTTGTGAAGGTGTATTCTCTATACTAGCACTGATTTTTGAAAACTTTAGTTCAAAACCTCCAATTACAGGGATATATTTCAAATTCATAGAAAAGGAGAGAGTCAAGCAAACCTAATTAAATCTTAGTAGGAAGAGGACTCTGTCATGAGGGCTACCAACAGGCATTTATGTAGAATAGCTAAAAATGGTTTTTCCCTCAGTGCCTCCTCCCTATCTGTCAAGTCTGCTTTCATTGGAGATGTCTCCATTTGGTGACATGCCCACTTGGGCACATCTTTGCTCTGTAACTCGAAAGAGGAAACAACCAAAAGAAACCCACAAGCCCTGCAAACAAAGCCTAAAAAAGGAGCATAGCATTGGAGCATTATTTGATTACTTGTCTGGATCTCACTGAAGAACAATTGCTTGCATGCATTAAAATCCACAGTGCCTGCCACCATCGATTTCCAAGAGACTTTACAAATTCCTGGCAGCATGCATAAAGGGGGTTGAAGTTTGGAATGGGAAATTTTGATTAATCTACAGAATTCCACTAGGATTTGCAGATGTGTCTATTCCATCGGGAAAGAAAAAAAGAATTTAAATTAAACTACATCAGGGAACACAGTTTTCTGTAATTTGGCTCCTAGTTTGATTGAGACCAGTACTTGAATGACATGCATTTACTTTATCTGCTGTCCCTATCAAGGAATAGATATAATTTGCTTTGTAATTTCTATGTATAAGACAAAGGCTTTATGAGAGACTGGTTAAGATTTTGTTGCAAAGTCCAGACTTTTGCTTCTGAATAACTATTGTGCCACCTAGTGAATGTTAAACTGCACTTTTAAATAGCTGGAAAAATTGACTTTAAACATACTGGTGAATAAAGAAACAAAGTATTTATTAAAATATTTTGAGTGACATGTTGAAACAAAAAGTATCTTCCCTTTTTCTTGATTATTTAACAAGGCATTTCACTGAGGTAAAAAATATTCAATTTCAACCATAAAATAGCATTTTGTTTGCAAGTGTATTAAAAAAATATAATACATAAAAAGGATGCACACAGAACTCTTTGCCTCCCCAGCAATAAATCCATTCAAATAAATTACTAGAACAATTCATAAACTTATCAGTGTAAAAAGATATCCCCAAATCTCAGGTTATAAGAACTTCCATTCTGCAAAACAAATAAATACATACACTGAAAATGTTATTTTCTGAACAACTGTGATAACTTGGCACCGAGAAAAAAATGCTTTAACACATTATTATGATTGCGTGCTTTAAGGCATTATTTAGACAAAATAATAAGCAGTGTTTTATATTAAAATCATAACATTCAGATAAACACAAAGTTTCTCACAAAATTTCCTTTTCCTTATAAATAGTTTGGGTCCAAAAAGCTATGTAGATTTCATTGGCCAGTAGCTTTTTCTTAGTGATTTCTCTTCTCTAGCTGAAACCTCTCAACAGGGTTGTGATGGTTTATTTTCTTTCACTTTTTAAGGAAACCATCTGTCCTGTGTGGGAGTATTGGGTTTGCCACAGTAGATAGCAGTAATATTTCAATCACCAAAGCCAATAGCAGTAAATTTCCCTTAATAGAGAATTTCCTAGCATTTTTCAAGTCACCTTACTGCATCTTATGTTAAGTTGCCGCACTATCCATCATCAACAAAAGCCAAAGTCTGCTCTTTTAATACTTGCATGCCATAGTTACAGTAGAAAACCCAGTGGTTGGCAATAGTTCAATTTAGAAACCTTCAGATTATCTGACACTCCAGGGAAGTTCAAATTCATGTTGTTTAACACATTTAAATGATGCATGTTAGTGATCTTTCATATAACAGGACCTGACACCAGGTAAATGTGACATTGTATCCAGACACCTGGATAGCTCTATCAGACCTTGATGGAAACACAAACATTTTTATAATTTTCAGTCAATGAACAATGGAATGGAGCTCATCTTCTTTCAGCACTTTTTGTTACAAAATATCTGAGATGCAGCTCTAAGCTGAGAGAAAATGAAATTAGTTTCTGAAGGTAAAAAACATATTATTTGGAAAAGCAGAAAATCTGTGGTTTGAGGGGGCTTTTTTACAGTTTCATTGTTGTTTTTGTTGTTATTGTTTGGGCTATTTCTTTTCCCACCATGAGAAAGATTTTCAGAAAAAAAAAATGTTATCTATTTTCTGGTTTCAAGGTTTGACAGACATTTTGTCATTTCATTTTCTTCTTGCAGACAAATGAAATTGAAAAGATTGTGTCAGGTTTCAGGTGAGTTTCTTTAGAGCTCAGTTTCCAGGCTCTCTGAATTCTTTGATACTTGAAAAGTGTTTGTAGGGTGTTCTGGTTTTCTCAGGAGGTGTATTGTGTAGTGAGCAAATAGAAAAAGCAAAAGTTTATTTCTTTTTAAGGCATAATCAGTTGATTACTTCATTTTAAAGCAGTACCATTTAAGATAGTAAAGAGGTCTGCCTGTGAGATTTGTTGTTCACTGCGAAGGTTCTTAATGGCTAATATTGACATTAAATATAGAATTTAAATGCATGCAAGTATTACTAAAAGTAGGGCAGGATTACAAATATAATTTTTTTTTGCTTTATCTAGAATTGATAACAAGCATTTCTCAATATCTGTATGCTCAAACATGATTCTTTTTATAGAGGATGATGCCATTTCAGTAAAATAGGAGAAATCACTTACATGGCTTGATTTTTTTTTTTCCTCTTTAGACACTATTTGTCCATGTTGAGTCAAGGTATTCTAGCATTTAACAATATCTGTGAGAATTATATAATTAAGTCTAAGAGTTCCCATTACTTTATTTCACATAGTGAACATTTTAATGTGACTTTAAATATTGCATATGGAGGATTATCTGTGGAGTCAATGGACAGTGTTTTATAAAAAGAGCTGAAAATCTAGATCACAACTCTGATCCAACATGATACTAATTAACAAAATTATAATAAATCCTGGGTTAAAAAGTGCATACATTATAAAATACTGAAATGAAGTCTTTAAGATGAACAGATTTTATTCAAAGGAAAAATATGCACTGGTCACAAATAGAGGAGGTAATTGAATGGCATGTACTCTTTCATTTAAATCTAATACCGTATTTCTATTCAGTGTAGTAATAAACCATTTTCCAAACTTTCCTGTCCCCAGATACCTGCAAAGTCAGTTTGCAGTGGCTTACTCAAAGTGAGTGAAACTCTCAGTATGTGTAATTCTTACTAACTTCAGGCTGCATATCTGTTTCCTTCAATATCAATTAGATAGATGGGGTGTAATTCTAATAAAGCTCACTGAAACTGCCCAGAATTTAAATAATTTTGTCTCTTTAAAGAATTTGTACCTCATAGATTTAACTGAACTGATAGTCAATATTTACTGTAATATTAATTAGGCAAGACTTGATTTGCTCTGGTTTTCAAGCATTTGAAAACCCTAGACATGTCCAAGCTCAGGCTTTTGAATATTTCACTTTGTTCTGTATGAATTGCTTAGACAATTACCACTAAGTGCACTTGTCCCAGAAGGACAAGTGCCTTTCCTTTGGCAAATCTGCTGCCACTGCATGTGAGAAACCTGCATTGGCCTGAAGCCTGTCACAGGTGGGATCAGTAGCTCATTTCTGAAACTTCTGGGAATTATTTTAGAGGATTTCAAGGTAGGATTATTTTGAAACTGAAATTCATTATGTGAATGAGTATTGAGTCATGGAGTAAATAAAGAATAAATACTAGAGAAATACTTATTCAATAAATTGGTGAAAATCAATATCCTCCAACTATGCAGACTAGGATGTATGTTTGTTATAGATGGCATATTTGTTAAAAAAAGTATGCAAGAGAGTTATACAGGCTGTATAATACATTAAATCTTTGATGGAAGTCTTAAGTGAAAGAGATCAGAAATGCATATCTGGATTTTTGCACAGATACAAAATCTGAGATTTTTCTTCTCTGGTCCTAATGGCAACACATTATTTATTCTTATTTTTGAGGCCATGCAAACAAGCAGATGTTTCCACTGAAGTTACTAACCATGAAAACACATTCAAAGTTGCATTTCTGGCATCATATAAAAACCCTCAGTGAAGGGTTCATACTGCAAGAAGGAAGGTGTTTGGAAGAGCAAATTCTGTAAAAGCAAGCACAGTTTAAGCCGTCATGTCCCCAGAGGATGTGGCAGGTACAGCTGGGCAATATGAACATAAGTCTCTCAGTCCTAGTAAAGGAGATGGTAGATGTTTAACAAAAACTAACTGGCAAATCAAGGCACAGAAGAAGCTCTTGCCATGGCCCAGCTTCAGAGTGTATTTCCTGGCTGTGTCAGGTACGCAGACTCAGGTACTCCCCGTCTACCGTGCTTAGATGTTCCAGCAGGAACTCCTAAGGTAACATCCCCTTGCCTCTGCCCCCCAGGAGGGATGCTGGTTTCCTCTGACTGCAGGGCTGCACAGGAGATGGATCAGGTAGCTCAGTGCTATGCATTAGGTTCTCTGTACACTCTTCAATGTAATGAAAGGGATCCATATGGTTAGAGAAATTACTTCCTAATTTGCCCATGCTAAACTTCACACTAGCAGCACAAATAGATCCAGCAAATAATGAGCAAATGTAATTAATTAATCACAATGATAAAAGTGATTTTAAAGCACTGGCATTTAATTTGGGTGAATTTAGAAAACAAAATATATTTATGGATGCAAAATAGAAGTGTTTGGTTTGAAGTGTTACTGGGATATGTTTGACTGAACATTATCTGTATCAAGTTGATAGCTAATTAGTGAAAGAGGTAGTCTTCCCTTATTACAATATTTGGAATAATGTGACAAAATTATGTGTCTATATAGCTGCAGATATATGTGTGTGTATAGACATAAGTATGTATATACACATATACTTTCATCTGCAGCTCTATATACCTATACTTGTCACACTATATGTAATATACATTTGTATGTAGATATACTTATGTGTATATTACATATATATATATATATATATATATATATATATAATTATTTGAGTATAAATAATATAGATTATTGTAAATACGTATCTTTATCTACTCAATACTCCAAGACAAGCACTTAATAATCTACTAACTCTTACAAATACATGGTATGAAGCTGGCATGGCTGATAAAGCTTCTGTCTTTGCAAACACAGCCTATATATATATATATATATAAATGACAATCTCTTTTTATCTACTGTCAATGTGCAAGACAGTTTTTCTGGTGTGCTTATTTCTATGGTTCTGTATTCTCATTCTTCAAAGCTAAAATATATTGAGTGTAATGTATTTAATATAAATGTAATTTAGTCATGGTAAATCTGAGGTCGTGTTCACTGATAATTACACCATGCTTCCTGTTGCAACATAAACATTCATATGGAATCCTGTACTTTGTGCTACACTAACTTCAATTGGTATGAGCGACTATAAATATAGAATTGTGAATGCTTTCATCATTTATTACAAGCTTTTAAAATTCTTTATTGTATTTTGAAAAAATACACTGTATTTTGAGGGAAAAAAAAACAACTCTGTGTGTTTTGAAAAATCGTTATATATAATCTTGCTAATAATATTAGAAAAACCTTGTAATTCAAATGTATATTTACCAAATAATAGTTTTGGAACAAAGTATATGTGCCAGTTTAGGTAACTGTATTAAGCATTCTGAAGGCTTCCTTTCTCTGTGTTTGAAAAGAGTTTTATAAATCAGTGCATGGAGCTCTCTGCTGTTTAGGCTAATGTGTATATAAGAGCAGTGCAGAAGAAAATGGAAAAATAAGGTAAGTAATTTTCTTGTCTGTGTAAACAGATGCAATGTGAAATTCTTCATCCGTTAAGTCTTGCTAGTTTTGAGCACACAGATAGCCAAGCCCTTAGATTGCCATCTCACTTCCATAAAATGCTTCTTAGAGCCCTTTAAAGACAACAAGAAAAATAGACTTCTTGAATAGGAGGGTTTAAGGAAAAGAAAAATTTTGGTAAAATGTGGAGTATTCACAAAAGCGTTTAAATCTGAAATAAGCAGAGAGAAATTAAATGCACTGAAAATGTGTGACAGAACTGTTACTACTGTTTATTCTACTTTGCTTTCTATTTACAGCGATGTGCAATAAATTAGACTAGTCAAAATTTCAGACTTTTAAATCTGGGTTACACCCATTTATTGAAATCATTTAACATTTTTCTAGATGCTTTCTCCTACCCTTCCAGTCAGTCTTAGGGGGATATCAAATATCTCACTCCCTGTGGCTGGGCAGAGAGCAGGGATGTGCTGGATGGATGTGTATGAAAGTCTAAATAGCCATGGCCTGTACTGGGCCTACACTTTTCCTGAATAATCCTGGGAAGTGTACACTGTGTCTGATGATCTCTGGCCTGCACCTTTCATTAAAAAGCAAAAAGAACAAAAAGACTCAAACCCACAGGGAATACCATTACTATGATCTTAGTTAAGTAATTATATATTCTTAGGCTAAAAGAAGTTTCCTTTGCTACTCCCTGCCTTGAAATTGTAATGTAGTGTATCATACCAATGATTTGTAAATTCTTATCATGGTATGTAAACCTATAATCATTTCACAGTTTGGTATGTTTGCCTCACTCAGGCAGTGCTGCACTGTTTGTTTTACTGAAGTATGTGTGGCTGCTTTCCCACTTGGCCACACATCATTCTGTCAGAGCTTGGCTTGCTGGGCAGGTGCTGGCGGCAGTGCTGCGAATCCCGCTGTCATCTTGTCAAACCCAGGACACTCTTTCCCTGCAGCACTTATACAGAAAGCAGAAACTGCATGGCAGCTTTGGAAAATGATGGATAATGTAGCTTGCCTTGGTTTCCTAAAGGCAAGAAAATCCAGTTGTGCTGATCTGTTATGTTGTAGTGGTGGTGGTAGTGGTAGTGACATTTTCTTTTTTATGTGCAGATGAACGTGTGGTTTATACATTTTTTAATTGAATTAAATGGTTCAGTTACAGGAGCTTGTAGAAGAGGCAGAAAAACAAAAGACTGTACTAATCATCCCAGTGGCACTTCCATTTTATCAAATAGTGTGAGTTTAGGGTTCCCTCTATTCCCTGCAGAGTTTAAAAAACCAAATTAAGACACAGGAGACAGATGGTGGGTTGTTCTCAGTTTCTCCTTTTCCTCAGGTACTGCACTGCTAAGGACTTTTCAGGTTTTCATTGAAACAATTACTTGATTTGAAGTCCAGACATGAAAGAACTGATCTGAGAAAGAAAGGTTTGGTTCCAACACTTCTTCAGTGTCTGAAAGACTGCGGCTGAGTTGTGATGATCCCAGGACTCCTCATCACAAATCTTTTGAATCATAGCATTTCTGAAAGGATTTATCATTGCATTTCCATTGGAAGTCCATTTCAAAGTCTACAGTTAAATATAATTCGCAATTGGTTTATGGATTTACTGATAGATAGTGTGTCATTTACATATTAATTTTGCAAGATTATTTGTATCTCTTATCTCTTATGGTATTTGATTTGGACTTCCAAGGGTAGCGCTCAGATTAGTTCATGGTTGTGTTATACAATGAAAATGGGAACTATTATCTATCTGTTAACTATTTCTATTTCTTAGTAATATGGTTATTTTTTACCATCACTTCTAAGTTATTTTTTTTTTCTATCCATTTTAGTGGAAGTTTCATCTCCTTTATTGATATATTCTTCCTGATCTTTTCTTGTGTGTTAGAAGATACTAGCTTCTCTTTTTTTTTTAATGAAAAAGCAGCATAATGATATCATTGCCATCTAAGTGTATCTGTCAGAGTTCTCAAATAATACGTGACTGGATTGGCTGTTGCCCTACAGAGGTTTTAGAAATTTATGGCTGCAGAGCGGATGCTTTCTGGCTTTCATCTTCTGCTCTCTGTCCCCAGTGTGAGTGAAGAAAGGTCTGCACCCTATAACATTAATAATTTCTGGCATATATTTAGCAAATATCATTATTTGAGATCTCGCTCATACTATTCTGGTTTTGACCTCATCCTGTCTGACAGCTCTGGAAAAAATGCCTACTTCCTAAATAAAACATTGTAAGAAGGATGGTTTCCAGCAGTCCTGTCTTACCATTTTTTTTTTCAGAAGTTGAGCTGATCTGAGTTTTCAATCATTCTGTCAGGCAAAAGACTTAAAATTTAACTGTGTGATTTACCAGAGCAATATTTTTTCATTATTAGTGTGTTCATATTCTGAGTTATACAATGATGAATGCATTAAAAGTGGACTGAATTAGATAATAATATGGCATCTTCATTGTAACCGAATAAAACCTCATTTACACTAGATATCGAAATAGGGGAGAGGTTTGTGTTAGTTATCCAAATGAGTGAAAGAAAGGAATTGCTGATCTATTTACTGCATGTGTCAAAGAATCTGTACCATTTAAAATCCCACACTGTCTTATGTCTTCATAACAAAACCAAGTACAGTTCAAGGGAAAGCAGAATTTAGAAATTAATTAGAAAAACATAACCAAACCCTCCTCTTTTGGTTAAATATTTTTATGTAAAATCAGTGTATTGTGATACTCATTATTATCTCATGCCATTATATATTGACTCTGGAAGGACTCACATTTAGAAAACAAACAACCATTGACAGCATATTTTGCTCAACATTTACAGTCAATGATGGACTTTTTCATTTGAATTTTTTCTTCTTGATGATATAATTAATTTATTACTAAGGATCCAGTCAGCTGACTAGAGAAGCCAAGAAATAAGAGAATTGCAAGTTCCTAGTCTGAGCATGTTTTCATTTTATGTTAGTACTTGGGGAAAAGGATTAAAGCTTAATTACTAATTCCTTTCATGCTTTTTTTCTGCTATTTTCCTAAAGTGTTTAGTAATTTCTTTGACATACATCTGTCAAAGGTTTTTTCCCTGACTCTAGAGACCATAATTTCAAAGGAACTTTTACCATGTGTTGCCCCCAAAGAAATTTTGAAATCATTAGATGTGCAAAACCCTTAGTCCAAGCATAAAAATATGCATGAAAAAATGAATAGTGGCACGTGCAAAAAGTGCTAATGAGAACTTTTACTACTTTTATCAGATAGCTGAAAGGTAGATGAAAATGGGAAGAGTTTTGCAGCCTTACAGGTTAGAGTAGCTAGACACAGTGAAATTATGCTGGCTTGTATCTCCACAGTTTAAGGAAACACAGAAAAATATTTTTGTTTGTCATCAGCTATCGCTAGAGGCAGCAGAGAGGCTGTGGCTCTGTTTTGCTAGAGCCAGGATATCACTGGGGACCAGTGTTGATTGGAACTTGGAAGATTTGTCGCTTCATGTGATTGGAACTTAATTTTTGAAGGCTGAAGGATTTTTGAGATTTTTGAGCTCAGGGCAGATCCTGCAGGGAGTGTTTTAATTCAGAGTTAGAGTTCAGGGGCATTTTAATACTGCTGTGCGTTCAAATTCTACTGGGATTTTGGTTCCTCTATAACAGAATGTTTATAAGGAAACACAATGTGATCACTATAAAGAGTTCAGATTAATCACAGTCTGGATATCACATACAGGTTTGGCTTGAAAGGTGTCACAGGCAGCTTGGCTTTTCAAAAGACATCTTTCAAAGTGCTAAAGGGAATTTTATGTACAAGTAAGAGGACGATTATTTAACTTCTTCACCTGTTCACTTGATTTTTGTTTGGTTTTTCTCTGCTACAGACTATGTCAGAGTGCCACAATGATCATGCATAATAACAGTTCATCCTCGCTGCTTTTACCAAATGTGAGCTCCTTCTGGAAGAGAGATTCGCATGGACCGGGACTCCTTGATGAAGCAGCATCACTCATTGGCAGCTATGATTTCCCTCAGACCACAGAGAGTTTTCCTTTCTCCACTGTGGAATCAACAAACATGACCCTAAATGCCACAAGCAAAGACCCTCTGGGTGGACACACTATCTGGCAAGTAGTTTTGATTGCTTTCCTCACTGGGATCCTTGCACTGGTGACCATCATAGGAAACATCTTAGTGATTGTTGCATTTAAGGTTAACAAACAACTGAAAACAGTCAACAACTACTTCTTGTTGAGCCTTGCTTGTGCAGATTTGATTATCGGTGTTCTTTCCATGAATCTTTATACCACATACATCATCATGGACCACTGGGCTTTGGGAAGCTTGGCCTGTGATCTTTGGCTCTCCATTGACTATGTTGCCAGTAATGCCTCTGTCATGAACCTCCTTGTGATAAGTTTTGACAGGTATTTTTCCATCACCAGGCCACTGACATACAGAGCCAAACGAACAACCAAAAGGGCTGGGATAATGATTGGTTTAGCATGGATTGTCTCTTTTGTTCTTTGGGCCCCTGCCATCTTGTTTTGGCAGTATTTTGTTGGGGAGAGGACTGTGCCTCCTGATGAATGTTTCATCCAGTTTCTATCTGAACCTATCATCACTTTTGGCACTGCCATAGCTGCCTTTTATTTGCCGGTCACCATTATGAGTATTTTGTATTGGAGGATCTACAAGGAGACGGAGAAACGCACCAAAGAGCTGGCAGGGCTACAGGCTTCGGGCAGCGAAGCAGAGGCAGCGCGCTTTGTGCACCAGACAGGCAGCTCCCGGAGCTGCAGCAGTTATGAGCTGCAGCGGCAGAACATGAAACGCTCCACCCGAAAGAAATACAGACGCTGCCACTTCTGGCTCACAATGAAGAGCTGGGAACCCAGCACAGATCAGGGGGACCAAGAGCATAGCAGCAGTGACAGCTGGAACAACAATGATGCTGCTGCCTCCCTTGAAAATTCAGCCTCCTCTGATGAAGAAGACATTGCTGCAGAGACCAGAGCCATCTATTCAATCGTGTTGAAGCTTCCTGGTCACAGTGCTATCCTCAATTCCACAAAACTACCCTCCTCAGAAGATTTGCATGAGTCAGGGGATGAACTGCAGAAATCCGACACAGAATCGAAGGAAAAGAAACCTAAAAAACTGCACCCTCCCAAAGGTGTCCAGGATGGTGGAAATTTCCAAAAGAGCTTTACTAAGCTTCCAATTGAACCAGAATCAGAAGAGACAACCACAGCTTCTGATGGCATCTCATCAGTCACCAAGACATCAACAGCCCTGCCCTTGTCCTTTAAGGAAGCAACCCTGGCAAAAAAGTTTGCCTTGAAGACCAGAAGTCAGATCACAAAACGGAAACGAATGTCACTTATCAAAGAAAAGAAAGCAGCACAGACACTCAGTGCTATTTTGTTTGCCTTCATCATTACCTGGACCCCATACAACATCATGGTTCTGGTGAACACCTTTTGCAGCTGCATCCCCAAAACTTTCTGGCACCTGGGGTATTGGCTTTGCTACATTAATAGCACAGTGAACCCCATGTGCTATGCACTGTGTAACAAAACATTCAGAAACACTTTCAAGATGCTGCTGCTGTGCCAGTGTGACAAGCGAAAGCGACGCAAACAGCAGTATCAGCAAAGGCAGTCCGTCATTTTTCATAAGCGGATCCCTAGGGAGGCTTCGTAGAATAGTATTTTTTAAACAAATGAAAAAATAACAAAGCAGGGATGTGATAGGATGGGATAGGACAGAACAGGATGACATGGGACAGGGCAGGATGGGCAAGATAGTGAGGGATGAGACAGGATGGGTTGGGGAGGGAAGGTGGTTCCAGGGTGCTGATTCTATGATTTAAACACCAAGACATGAAAGCAGCTGCCAGGCTTATTTATCCTTTCAATAAATCCAGTTTAATGTAAAAGTCAATCCACATTCAGCAAAAACTAAGAAACTTCAACATTTTTATTAAGGAGTGAAAGATTTAATAAAGTTTTCCTACGAATTTGTGAGAAGCTGTATAGCAATTATAAACCCATTACTGATCTGCCCAGCTCTTTGATTATAATCAACTCTGGGATCTCAGGTAAGCACATCTAGCTAGCCCAACTCTTCTTTTTCCAAGGAATCCAACAACTTTCAATTCAAGTTATATACAGATGTATCAAAGCTAGTGAAACGGGATTATTAAATTATTTGACACACTGTATAGGTTGAAAAATTACCTCTTGTTGTCCTGGTAGAGCTTCCTGTCTACCTCTCTTCTGATATATTGTTAATTGTACCCGTGATTCCTGATTTCTGAGTATCTATGTGTGCATCTGATGTTATATGTGTGTGTGTGAGTGTGTATGCATGCATAGCATACATTCACACCTCTGACATACACACATACCAGGAAAGAGGTGACCTATTGTTCTAGGTTTTACAGGGCCCTCCATCATGATTACATGTGATTGAAACTTTTTAAATGTCCGAAAATCATGTTATAAGTATATAGCTCATTATTTGCCACCTGAAATTCAAGTTTATCTCTGGAACCAAAACACGGTGTCCACATTTCAAACTAAGAAAACCAAAACATAGCCTGTAAGTTTACAGAGTTTTATAATTGGGTACTTGCACAGTAAAACCTTAATCTTGAGCACAGAATCTCTTCTCAAAGTGATCATGCCTCTTTAAAAGATACAAAGGGGAAAGGAAGTGAAGGCCACATTCAGGGAAGAGTGTGAAGATGTCTTGGCAGGGCATAGGATGATGAGAACCCAGATCTGGGCTGCTGTACCAGTGTTCAGGAGCCAGGAAGGTGCAACCATCAGCAGCAGTCCCATGTCCTGCTGGGGGGGCTGTGCTGCTGTCGAAGCACGCATGGCTCCTGCAACACCTTGTCCTGAGCTGCACCGTGGGGATGCACCACCTTCCTCAGAGCCAGTTCAGATCCTGTGTGCAGTATCACTACGGCTTCCGATGAAAGTTCAAGTTGGAATTTTCTGACAAAAGTTGGTGGAGCCCCGCTGCTTGCACTGTCTGCCCAGGTGATCTTCAGATGCAAATGATTTGTTTCAAAGAAATGCTTTATTTTTGCATGGGAAGGATGCTCACTAAAACGTGTTTCTTTTCCACAACCTGTTTTAAAAATCATCAGGAGATGTGCACCTAAATCCGTTTGACACCAGGTTATTCAGTGGTGTGAAAAATGTGATATTGCCAATTTGTAACATGGCAATTTTTGATAAAGACAATTTTAAAAGGGCTTTAATATTTATAGTTTAGAGATGACCAGTATTTCCTGGTATTTGTGAGGTGGTCTGCACCAAACATGATTTGTAAAAGTCAGAGGTCCCCTGGGGAAAGGATTGTACTTTAAACTGTTGCTCTAAATTTGATTTAGTTACATGTTGAAAGATTATTTTGTATTCTCCTTTGAGCTGACCAAAACTTTTTTTTTTATTGCTTAGACTCTTATTTTGCTGAAAATAAAGCAAGTATCTTATTTTACAAAGGGGCATCAGTGTTGTGAACGCAGAACTGATGTTAAAGCTGCTTTTGTATTCAGTGTGAGATGGTGTTTACAGATGATTTTGACAACAGTGGAAATATATTAAATGGTGTCTGTGTATCTGAACTATTTAATTTTGTGTTATGTTCATATAAAGAAATATTTATACATATTTCACCGAATGTTTTATTTAATGTTGATAAATATTGCTCTTCAGTCTTCAGCTGTAGTGTCCTTTTAAAGTGATTCATAAAGGTCTGCTTGAGAAATGAATAGATTATACCTAGCTTTCTTATCACTAAAACAAATTCTCATTTGTATGAGTTGTTTAAAATGTCTACCCTAAAGTAATCTCATAAATTTTATTGAAACTCTACTGCAAGTACAATTTTAGTACAAAAAAGAAAAAAATTAAAGCTTCATCTATGTCACAATTGCATTTTGAACTAAAGATACCAGAATTGCTTTGCTGGTTTGCTAGCCACATACAAAGGCACCCATGTTGCAAAGAAAATTAATTACCTTTATTTATAGAAAGAAGCATATATTTGAAATATATTCATTACTCAAGTTGACCTAAAACTGTTTTACCATTTATATATATATCTATATCTATATATATTGCCATATTATTATATTCTGATATCTAGAGTAGTGCTGTGCCCCTAACACACAAAATGTGAGAGCATGTAAGGAAGCCAGAGTTCATCGGGGGATTTATGGTATATTAGTATTGATTTTAAAATGGGAAACTATTATTTTTATTGAAGTTAAGCTTCCTTGAAAGCGTCTGTCACCACTGTTTACATAATAGGAAGAGTTAAGTCCTTGGATTGTTCTAACAGAAATAAACAACCTGTCTTTTGATGTGTGAACAGGCTTAAAATGTTATTTACAGGCATCATAAAATGTGTATGTACACACATATTGTAGCATAGATCAATTAATTATTATTTATTTAATGGAATATGCACTATAAAATATTAAGAATTTGGCTGTGTTACAAGTACAGTGGGCATCAATTTAATTTGTATTTTATATATTGCTGTATTTGCTTTAAACCCATCAACACACAAAAATTTTAGCTGTATGCTCTAGTGGATATATTATTTATGAACACAGGCACACGTAATAGGTTGCAGAAGAAGAACAATGCAGGACCAATGACACAGAATTACTTTTAGGAAGTACACTGGTGTAATATTTCATCTGTTTTGAGGAAAATTAAGTCAGAAACACAGTAGAAAGCATCATTCTGATGGCAGACAAACAGCTCAGCCCCATTAACTCTCCTCACAGCTCTGAAAGCTGGCTTTTCAGAGACCAGTCTCTGTTAATTGCAATAATACAAGATTAGACTCCATATGAGAAGGACCAAAAAGTCAGATGTGATAGCCAGACAGGAGCCAATGGGTAGTCTGGAGAAAGCTTTGTAGAATAGACCCCAATCACTGTCAGCCTCTGAACAGGCAACAAAATACATTACAATATATGTTTGGATTTTCCAGTGTAAAATTGTGATCAAGTTTATTACTTCTGACTGGTATAGGCAGTGAGAGATGTCTGATCTGAAGATCTGAGGGCAGGGGCCATGGTGCATGAAGCACTTTTTCCTACTCCTGCATAACACACTTTCAACAAAAGTAAACTGCAAATCAGTCTGGCACTGTTCTAAAGATAAACAAATGTAGAAAAGGCCTGAGAGTTCCCAGGATCTAAAACTGTGGATCTGTGTAACCTAAACAATAAATAGTCTGCAGGATTCTGGCAGTAGTAATATGTACACAGATATTCTGAGAGAGTTGGTGACCTTTCTCAATTATGTACAGCTCCATTTTCTTACTTTGCTCTCTTGATTATTATATTTCTTTACTTACTCTGCAAGAATATTCTAAAAAGTCTTGGTTCATTATCAAGCTTATATATCTAAAAAGTGAGTAGAGATCCCAAAGTACACCTGGTTTGCCTCTAAGAATGCAAACACCAAAGCAAAAGGAAGTTTTAAACTTTTTTCTCTAATCAGCAGCATCAATAATTTTAAAAATAATTATCATCATGCTACCCTATATACAGTAGGGATAGTCAAGCCGTGTCATAGTATTTATAAACTGCTTTTCACTCACCCCTTACCCATCGGACTATGCATCACTATTCAAATTTATATTTGAGATTTTAAACCCTCATTTTCCTCCAGGTGGCTCCTAGAATCTTGTGCTAAAGTATGCTCTACAAGCCTGTCTTGTTATCAGGTGTTTTTTCTTTTCATTTCACAATCCCTTTATGCAAAGTTATCTGATCTTATGTTATCAAAACACACGTTACTAATTTCAGGAGTTGTAAAGTGTTGAGATCTGATACTTTCTTTTGTAAAGATGTATAAAACATATCAAAACCAACTGGAGAAGTCTTCACATTTGCCAGCTCCTCATTGGCAGAAATTATCTGTGCCACAAATGGTTCTCTTCACCCAGTCTGTCCCTAGGGATGTTCTCCCAAATCCCCACTAGCTTGAACTTCACACAGTTCATGAATCATCATGTATTTTAATGCATTTGAAAATTTGAAAAAAACAGTACGTATTCATTTGTGGTAGTTCTGAATATTTTTTGACCCATGCAAATCTAGTGTCTCTATTCACAACCTGCTTCCACCCTCTGTGGTTTTCTATTTTCTATATTCTTTTTATCTTTTATGTATTTGCCCATTCAGATACCACTGCACTCACTTCTGGGGGCAGGTCAAAGCGATACATATTTGTAAGTTGCTTCTTGTTAGCCCGAAGGGTATGCAGAGATGTCTGGTGGAGCTGAGGTGGTCATAGTGATGGCTGCCTTTTCTGACTCATGCACCGCGCTCCCATGATACCCAAACACTTCTGTTTGGAAGCTTAGCTAAAGCATGCATGACATTCCAGTTTTCATGGAATTAAAAACTTCATTTAATTAGGATGTTCTTTCTTGTAGCAGGCATAGATCAGTTATAGCATCTGCACTTCTCTACTTCTACATTTTTGAGCCTCTAGAAAGATGTTGGGCAAAATACTAATTTGTAATGTCTGATACTTTGGTGTTTTTGTACTTCAGGTTTTAAAGTAAGGCAGAGATAATGCAGTTGTACTATTTGTTGAAAACAAATTGAATGTGAATGGAAATTCTATGCTATGTTTATTTCATTTCATACACCATGGCACTGCAACTTGGCTGAGACTGAGCATTACAGTATTTGAGGTCACTGACAGTTCTTCACAATCTTAACTGGCAAACTCATTACCTATGCTGTACTGGCATTTGGGACTTTGACTTCTCTTCACCAATCACTTTGCACATTCAAAACATAACATAGATGGTATTTTTATATTTTTTTGAGAAATATCATTGTAGTTATTTCCAGATGCATTCCTAGATGTGCTTGAGGATGCTTTGCTTAATTTTAGATATCAAGATGGCTCAAGAGAGCCAATCCCTGTCAGGGATTGTTTAATGGAAGGAGCACAGGTAACATGGGAAAACATTAAGTGCTACTTATTTCATGGCCTGTTCCAACACGTGTTTTATGGTGTGTATATTGTACCAATATATCTCCATGCACTGTGTATATCTCAGAAGGATATGTGTGACTCTACTGTGCATGCACATACAGAGAGATGTACCACATCTAGAGCAATGTTTACAGAAGTATGTACAAACTTATGCTAAATTGTCAGCCATGGTAAACATTGCATTTGATGCCACATCAGTTGTAACTGGACAGTGAAACTGTGGTTAAATCTCCTCTGCTTTTCTGCAAGAAAAGTTTCCACATCTTTCCGTAGTGCATATTTTTTACAATTGCATTGTCCTTATTTCTGGATATGGTGTTCTCTGTATATTGAGCTGGCTTTTTAGACATTACACAAAATTTAGAAATGCACAAACATATTTCACTTACTGAGCTATTGTGTCAAGGCTGCACTAGGTTTAACTCCATTACCTAAACTCACACTGCCTTTTTTCAAATAAGAAGAAAAGGTCTCTTTGACTAGATTCTACTTGGATTATGTAAGAGAAACTTCTATGTCCATGCGAACATCACTGCCAGTTTCTCAAAGTTGGAAGAGAAATCCAGTCACTATGAAAACAGTTGGAGGCAAATGTCACAAACACAGCAAGTCACCACTGCAAATTCTTTGAGGTAAGAACAGCACTCCTTCCATTAGAAATTAGAAGAAAAAAAAAATTACCATCCTCCCTCATCCTATCCTAGTGCTCTGCCCTTTCTTTTGCATAGTATAATGCTTTTCATTTGCCAGTCCCATGGGTGGAATTTTCCAGGCTTTAAAAACCTCATTTGTCTGGTAAGACTAAGAAATACCCACTATATCTAGGTCATTCACCTCCTTCTGAGTTTTCAAACAATAAATCCTTGACTGTGTGATGCTGGCTTAAAGGAGCGTCTTATGAAAATGATGATAAAACCATTCAATCTAATGGTGGTGAGGAGATGTAAATTTTTTTCCAAGCTAGTGAAGCTATAAAATTTATGTAACTTGGCAGAAAGTGTGGAAAAAACCCCAAGACATTTAAAGGCTTTATAGATGTGCACATCCTCCTTGCATAAGGGTGAATAAACACATGTAAACAGTGCCCAAAAAAGTTCAGTGTATGAATGACTCTGTGTGCCAACAGCACACATCAGCACACTGTTGGCAGAGCACCGTGACACCCCACTAAGGCCTCCTTGAAAAGATCCCTATTATAGCACTCTAGGACTAAATCATAAGGCCTTAATATGTAAGAAGGTCTTGTTTGTCTGGGTGCATATGCATTTTCCAGGAATTTGATTGTAAATTCTTTCTCGCTCCTGAACCAAAGTTAAATAACTTTTCACTTTCTGGAATGAAAGCACTCTGGAAATGATCTGGTAATCGTCACTCAACCAAGCCTAACAATCAGACAAGCACAGGATATTATTGTGCCAAGAGAACTTAAATTTAT